ATTTCCCAGACAACTACTTGATGGCAGCATCGTAATGAGGCTAACCTCAGGTATGTTTGCATTATTTTCTTTGATATATTCTCTACTGCTTGCCTTCAACGGTCTTTCCTTGTTGAATTATTACCTGACTGTTGCTGTTTGCTTCATTTGCTGATTCAGTTGCTGCTGCTTGCCTTCATATTTGTTTCCTTCATTTGCCTTTTCATTTTTCTCAACAACTTCCTTCATATAAAGATGACTCCTCTGAAGCCTGATATCTTTTGCAGAAGTCTTTTTCACTGCTTCCAGTTTTCTGGAGTCTTCTGTTTAGTGTGACTGCTTTGCACAGGTAAAGCAATGCTGCTAGTCTTTACACCGAATGTAACCTCTTCCTCCATCTGGCCATCTTCCACTCCTGGACCATGCTGGTGGCCAAGGGCACAAGTTCACCTCTGATGGAACTGGATTTTGTTTTGTTTTTTTCTTCTACTCAGTACTGCATAAGAATCACCTTGTCCCATTTTCATCTCTGCTACATTTCGCCTCCTTACATCTTTTCCTTTTGTCCCTGATCCAATCATCCTGTTATCTTAACATTTATTGTCAAGCACAAATCAACATTTCCAATTTCTTGAAGCTGCTAAGAATTACTTTCATTAGGATGTTTTCCTCCCCCTGACTGTACATGTCATCTTCAAAAGCTAAAAGAACCAGCTGTGGCCCAGTGTTGCATCTTTCAACCCACTTAAGAGTCTGGACACCTCATCTGGTCAGCACGGGTAGAAATGCAAACTTACACACCTCTTACTGAATCCCCACGAGCACACACACAGTTGCCACAGATATACGTGAAACCTTGCTAAGCTGCGGTAGGTTGGCCATAACACTAGAGCGATGTCACTGCATGTCAGCCCGAGCGATCTCACCCTCTACTCCGCTTGGCGAGACCCGCTCCGCAGTCTTGCGTCCAGCTCCGGGGTGGGCGGGCTGGAGCGCAGCGCGGAGAAGGGCGGGCGCGGGCCGGCGTTGGCGGTGACCCGCGGCGGGGCAAGCACCCGAACACCGCGGAGCGGCGGCGGCGCGGGCAGCAGGGAGGGACGGAGAGAGAGAGGGAAGCGGAGGGAGCAGCGGGGCCGCCCCGCTTCCCTCGGGCGCGCCGTCTGCTGCCGGTGCAGGGCAGTGGAAGAGGCGGCAGTGACGGTAGCAGGCGCGGTAAGGGGACCTTGCTCGGCCCATCGCACCGGAGCGGCGGCACTGAGCGGGGAGAACGAAGCCGGAAGCCGGCAGGGCACGGCGGGTAGGTGGCTTCGTTCAACCTGCTGGGACACTTGAGGCGTGTGCGGGCAGCCCACCCAGAGCCGACGGCCCAAGCTGCTCCCCTGCCTCCACTCGATCTGCCTCAGCATTAAGATGACATAGAGAGGGTTTAGATGGGATCTGAGGAAGAAGTTCTTCCCTGTGAGGGTGGTGAGGCCCTGGCACAGGGTGCCCAGAGAAGCTGTGGCTACCCCATCCCTGGCAGTGTTCAAGGCCAGACTGGATGGGGCTTGGAGCAACCTGGTCTGGTGGAAGGTGTCCCTGCCCGTGGCAGGGGGTTGGAACTGGTTGATCTTTAAGGTCCCTTCCAACCTAAACTGTTCTGTGATTCTCTGATGATTCTGTTATCTACGCAGCTACCCCTTCACCTCTGCTTCCATCTGGGATAACCCTGGCAGTACTAACGCCAACTGTATCACTATTTGTCTTTTCCCCTTCCTTATGTGCTCTCAAGACTTACCCAGAGTTCCATCAGAAGGCCCAAAATCTCTTCCCCCCCCCCCCGTCTTCCTCTTAATAGCTGGCTCCCTTTCCCAGTTGTTCATCACAGAATCATAGAATAGTTAGGGTTGGAAAGGACCTTATGATCATCTAGTTTCAATCCCCATGACATGGTCAGTGATGCCTCACTCTAGACCATGTCACCCAAGGCTCTGTCCAACCTGGCCTTGGAACACTGCCAGGGGTGGAGCATTCACAACTTCCCCGGGCAACCCATTCCAGTGCCTCACCACCCTTACAGTAAAGAATTTCCTCCTTATATCCAATCTAAACTTCCCCTGTTTACGTTTTAACCTGTTACCCCTTGTCCTGTCACTACAGTCCCTGATGAAGAGTCCCTCCCCAGCATCCTTAGAGGCCCCTTTCAGATACTGGAAGGCTGCTATGAGGTCTCCATGCAGCCTTCTCTTCTCCAGGCTGAACAGCCCCAGCATTCTCAGCCTGTCTTCATACAGGAGGTGCTCCAGTCCCCTGATCATCCTCATGGCCCTCCTCTGGACTTACTCCAACAGTTCCATGTCCTTTTTATGTGGGGGACACCAGAACTGCACACAGTACTCCAGGTGAGGTCCCATGAGAGCAGAGTAGAAAGTCAGCGAAAGTCTGGAAGAAAAGATCTACTCTTTGGGGAACTGAGCTTCACAAAATGGCAAAATCATGCCATGGCCAGCTACTGCAATTGAAGTGTCTCCTGTGAAGCAGATTGAGGCTGCCATAGAGGTTAAGTCTGGGATCAGTAGGAAGGCAGGAAAGCTGAATCTAAGATCTTTGTACTTCTAATGAGACAAAATTTTCTGAACCTGACCCAGTTCTCTGATCACTCCCCAGGACTGGTATCTACTGCAGTTTCTCCAGTTTCTTTGTTGCTGAGTAAAAAGAAATCCTACATTTGAAAAGGGAAACGTTTCAGTGTCAAGTATCATGGATTCCTGCCTCTTTGATTGTACCAAATGCCTGTACAAAAGACAACACCACTCTGGCTAGCCTTTCCTTCTTCCTGAGTTCACCTGAGCAGTTCTGGTTTTTGAGCACTAGATGCCCCGCGGCCATGAATGAGGTGTGGCTGAATAGCCAAGACAGCTTGGAAGAGACAGGCTCAGACTGCAGTCCTATTCACCACAGATGGATTTTGAATAGGATGCCCCTGGGAGACAGAACACTCCAGACATGGTGGGTAGCATCATTCGTTAAGAAAAGACTAAAATATGGTTTGTATTGCACAAATAGGCAAGTAATTGGAGAGCAGCTCCAGCTCTAATTCACTCTGTGGTATCCATTACAGCTGTGTTTTAACAGCACTTCCACAGGCTGAGAACGGAAGGGCACCGCAGGGAATCAGATGAACCTGTTGAGGAGATTTTTTTTTTTAAGAAACTGAGTGTTTTAAGCTTCTATCAAAAGGCAATTGCCAATTCAGATCAGGTCCTATGTTCAGATATAAGGTGTCCTGGGTTCAGCAGTAAAGGTGTTTTGCTAACAACCCTCCTGTAAGATCACTAGCAGGTTTTAATTCTGTGATTTGCTGCACCACAACACATCATATGTGAAGTTTATTGGCAGGGAGGGGTTGTTAACTTCTGATTTTCTAAGCTATAAATCAAGAGAATAAATACTGCTGCTGGTATGTGTATTCTTCCTATATCATCACTGCAATGGGACCAAAGGAGTTGGTCTAGACAACCTATTTCTCTAGTAATGTTTAACACACTTTTGAAACATTCTCAGCCTCATTTCAGATAGGGGGAAGAGAGACACTGTCGTGCTGAACCCAGGACAGACACACAAGAACTAAGGACTGGATCAGCAATAAGACTTAAATACCTTGTTTGCCCAATTTTACCTACCATGGAGTCCAGCAGATTTCTATCTGGTCACTCCAGAGAAGTTTCTTCTGCCAGGCAGGTATCTATAGGGCTATTTGATCTAGGCTCTCCCATAGATGTTGAAGATCTACTCAATAGTTAGGGGAGCTGAAGTTGCAATTCATAAAATCCTAGAATGTTTTGGGTTGAAGGACCTTAAAGCTCATCCAGTTCCAACCCCCTGCCATGGGCAGGGACACCTTCCACTAGACCAGGTTGCTCCAAGCCCCATCCAACCTGGCCTTTATTGAAAACTTCTCCTGCAAATACTAGCCAAACCACCACTAAATCACATAGGGAAAGCTGACATCACCATCTTCACAAAACAAGGCTCTTAATTATCATTATAATTTCTTTTCACCTGTTTTCTCATTGCCCTCTTGCTCTTCAGTTCTAGAGCGTTTTCAAGAGCTGGAAATCAGAGTGCTTTTCTTGTTACATCAGAGACACTCCCCTGTTTAGCCTAATCCCCACTCATTTTGAAGAAATGCACTAAGCAGGACATTATCACATCTTTTCTGACCTTTGATACAGTACAAGACACAGAATTTAGTTCAAAGACCTCCTTGTTTCTCCAAATAACTGATTAAGACATGTTTTCCTGAGTGACAACCAAGGTTGATGCAACATCTACAAGGCAACTTAAGAGCAGGTTTCTTTGGTCAAACTTGTGATTTGTGATTCAAAATATAGAAGCGAGATTTCTTAAAACAAAAAAGGTTCTGCTTATAAATGAAGAAAAATACCAGAACTCTCAGTTCTTTATTTCATTTTAGTTCATTACTAATTAATTTTAAAACATATTTAATGGAGAATATCACTAAAAAACTGGTTTCTTCAGAACAAGTATAAATTTCAAGAAGAAAAGTACATTTACATCTGGAAAAATTCCAGTTAATTATAAAAATGAAGATATTTTTAAGGAATAGAGGTATTTAGTCCTCTACTACTCTTTTCCAGATCATGATATACATACATATGCCTGAAAGTGCAAAAGGAACCTGCGACCTAAAAAAAAAAAAAAAAAAAAATCTATCTTTTAAAGATGGGAATGCAAAATAGAAGAAATTTCCTCCTGACCCCAGGAAAAGGATTCTTTAGAAAAAAAGCTGGAACTTGAAGAAAGAACAGCAAAAATATTTGCTTTGTAATCCTGAAAATTAAACTTAAGATAAATTTTAAAATGGCAAAAGCTTTAGATACAAACTCTTTATTGAGGTCTCCAAAATGCTGTGGGGCAGCAAACTGAGGTCTACCACCTTCTGTGCTATTCACATCTTTCTGACTGTTTTAGGGACTCTTGCAAATCCTAAACCACTTTTTTTCCTCCCTCTTTCCCAGGCCACCACTGAACCCCCAAAAAAGAAACCGGACCCTGTCACTTCGGAGACGGTGGTGATCTGGGGGCTGCGGCTCTGGCAGGTGATTGGTATCTTTGCCATCTTTGTCCTGGCAGTCAGTAAGTTGTAAATCTCTGCCTTGCACCAACCACAGCACCAACCAAAGCACCACCCTAAGCAGGGCTTGTTCCTGGAGGAATACAGGCCAGGTGGCCATGGAAGTCACTGGCTGAGACCTTTTGGTCTCTGGCATCACAGGAGTACACACTGAGGGGACTTTAGAGCAGGGAGAAGCAGGTGGGGTCTGTGAAGGAACCACAGATGGGCCACTGTGGCTTCATCCTGTAACATACTGATCCTAGCTGAGAGTGTCCCAGAGAAGAAGAGTTACTGCAGGGCTGTGGCACACTATGGGACTACATTCAGCTATAGTACCACATTCAAACCCAAATGCATGTTGCAGCCATGGTCCCACCCTGTTGCACAACCATACAACCTATGCGTGACCTTCTCTGGTCCTGTCCCACATGCTGCAATAGGAAGTCTTGAGAGGTCTACAGTCGCAGCCACCTCTGGGGTTAAGGTCCCCAGCTCATTTTCCAGGTGTCAAGACTTTCAGCTTGATTTAGGCAGGGCTTGCAGGACTCAAAACCCTCCATTTTTTTTTGAGCCCAAACAGTAGGAAGCCACTGGCTCAGACCTGGTGAGTGCAGCAGGATAGGATCAGATACTTGGAGGGTCTATCTGGATATAGCCACTTCCCACCTGAGTGTCTCCATCCTGCTTCATCCTCTTGCAGCTGACTCTTCAGGAAGAGTGTAAGTCAGCTTCACTGTGCATTGCAAACTACTATCGTGAGCTTCCTTATGAGGACATCATTTAGGACACTATCATAACCCCATCAAAATTCAAAGGAAGGATTTTCTGCTCCTTCCTTGAGCCAACATACAAAAATTAGACAGTTTGATACTAGTCAAACATGATAAATTGATCTCCCACCTTCTTATTATACCCTCTAGACTTTTATAAAGTGTAACTGATTTATTTCTCCTAGCAAACAAAGTTACACTAACTCATCAAAAATTCCCTTAAACCTCTTCTTTTTCCTGTTAGGGACAAATGAGCAGAGAGATAGAACCTGCAACCAGTACTTGAAAGTAAATCCCATCAGCTCATAGATTACCTCATATCTATGCATAAGGGACAGGGAGACGTAAAGGGGGCAGTGACGGTGGTCAGTGAGTGGCTGTGTGGTGCTTAGTTACTGGCTGGGTTTAAACCACACATCTAGGCATTTATTTATTTTTTTTTACCATTCTCACTTCTGCTGGGGTCCCTAATTGCTTGTTAATATTAATTTCACAAGTGGAGAAATGAAGAATTTTAAAGCACCTGAAGGAAGGTCTTAAGTGCTTTCTGTACCACTTTTGCTCTCATTCATCATAAGTGATGAGCACTCTTCAAAACAGAATGGCCACATGCAAGCTCCTGATGGAGAACAGTCACAGGAAATGCCAGCCCTGACCTACAAGCAGCCATTGTTTAGAACACAGGTTTCCTGGGCCAGATCTAAAACATAGTATTGCAGGGAACTGATATCTAGTGCTCCCTGTTACTTTTTAATTTGCTGCTAAACCCTGTCTAGATGCAGCCCTAATCCAATCAAAGAGCACAGCAGTCTGTGTATTGTTGCCTCCATTGATACTGAGGGAATAAAGTCAATTCTTGTTGCCACAGACATCTCTTTGGCTGCTGTAGGTGGCCTGTATCAGTCCTTCCTAAATAACCATCCTATTATGTTTCCATGCTCTGTTTAAACCAGAAGTTTGCATTTTCAAAGCAAGAACAAATATTTTCCTGTGTTTTCCCCTCATTGCAGTTTATGGGCAAACACCACACACTGCTCCCAAAGTCTGAGGGATAACTGCTCCCACAACTCTACATCAATGAAGATAACGTTAGTTCATAAGATGCCACAACACCCTTTGCAAACAATCACCAAGTAAAGATCACCAAGTAGTTAAATAGTGACTCCATACATTATGTGAAATAGACATAAAAATTAACATCAGGAGCTTTAGAATGCAAGTAGGCAGGTGAAGGGTGTTATTCAGCTTGGGGCATCAATTGCACATACATTTTTGCCCCTGCGTATCTGTTTAGTCATTCATTAGAAACTGGCTCTGTCAATACCGGGTTATTTAGGGTTAGAAGCATGGAAAGGCTGCTGTGCTGACAAACTAACATGTCAGATGGTGCACTGCTTGCAGAAAAAAAAAATAAGGTTTATTTGGTTACCTTAAAAACATCAGTAGCAAGAAGCAAACACCTGTGAAAATTACTTAAGCGACAGCTCAGAAATGGAGTGCATTATAGAAAGCAACATAGAAGGAAAGTTGCAGCCTAGTTATTTAAAGTGCTGAAAGCAGTGAATTTTGAGAAGGTAAAATACTATTAAGGATCTCTGTTTAGACAAACAAGCAAATAGGTTATGTGCTATTCAATAAAGTAACATCTGCTTCAAGGTTCAAGTTCCCATTAACACACACAGCTAGTTCAACAAAATCACACCATTATGTCACCCTGCTACAGATAAATGTTATTGGAGGGGTAGGAAAGTGTTTTCTAGGTGATCACAGGGTTTAGGCTTGCTGAGTCTCAGTGTGATAAATAGATTCAGTGCACCACAGCATATAATTGAGCCAGTTTATGACTCTACTGCTCTGTTACAGCCTTTTTGTTTGAAGAAGCTTTCTTTCAATGAGTAGACAGGATTTGAAAGCAACAGTACCAGCCCAGTTAGCATTATGAAACCAGTACGTATTTGGTGAAGACAGCAACTCTTAATCAAGTCAGTGATCCAAGTCAAAACAAGGCAAGTTCAAACTTAATAACTGAATCGTACAGACAGTTCTCACCACTTTCTTGCATCTTGCTCCAGAAATATCATCCTCCTCCTTTGCTTTGCGATCCCCAAAGCATTGATGGTTCCCCAGCTTTAATCCTTAGGAGCAGATGCAGGTTTTCTGTGAAGCAGATGCAGGTTTTCTGTGAATGAGCTCTTGGAGGCTGCCTTGGTATCAGTCCAGAAAACTAGGCAATGTTCTACTTTTCTAATGGGCCGAGAACTGGAGAAGAGCTTCAATATGGACTCTTCTTACCTGGTTCCAGAAGCACCTTCTCAGTCAGGGCAAGAGGGTGGCACAACCTTCTAACTGCACTAACCCTCTGCACTAAGAGACAGAAGAGAATCCTTTCCAGGGCTCCCTAGGGCCTGCACATCTCACCTTGTTATCAAGGCTTGAAGGGTGTGACTACTTTGTCATGTGAATTCAGGTGAGGAGTAAATAAGGAGAGGAATTGAGGTGCTTTTAAAGTCAATGTGCCTAGCTACTTCACTGTGGATGATTGTGGAGCACTTGAATTGGATTCCTTTCAGTTGAAATGGAAATAAAAGATAGTTACTCCAGAAAAGTACAGTCCGAGATACCTAAGGGAAGCCACAGAACCAAACTAGGGTATTCCACCTGAAATAAACCACGTGGATGGCAGATCCTCCATGCTCTTCCACCCTGCAAACCTGCTCCAGCTGAGTTGACAGAACTTGCAAATATAGGTATAATCTAGATGTTTTTCCAACTTTGCTCTTAGCAACTTCCACAAGATGGCATCATCACATAATAAATGGAAAAAAAAATGGCCAAATCCAAAAGTCTCTTACACTTTCTTTTTTAATGAAAATTAAAAATAAGTAAAAAATCCTACATAAAGTCATCTTATGTGTCAACACACCACACTGAAATGGGAAAAAAGTCCTTGGGAAGATCTAACTCATAAAAAGGTTTTTGGGTAGGTTACGAACCAAAGGGAGCAACTCCTAGCTCTACCCCACAGAGATCAGAAGAGATTAAATGTTTGCACATGCATTAGCTGCAAGTTTTTCTGTCATGCACTGATAGTCAGCTTTCTCAGATGCTATGTGAAATCTTATTTCTGCCAGACCCATCTGTCTCTTTTTCCTTTGTTTCTGCTCTGGGATAGGACACATCATAAAAGAAATAAAACTTATGGAGTAAACGAGCCCACAGTAGAATATATAACTTAGTAGTACATACAGAGCATTATTCAGGAGATGCTGGAGGTATAACTCTTACATATACACATTATTATTTATCTACTAAAATATCAGGAACATCAAGTCTTTTTGCTACAACTGGAGAAGGCATGAGAACTCATTTTTAAAGCAGACAACCTCTACAGGGAAAATCCATAAAGATATGGGACTAGAAAACCAGAATGCTTCCCAAGGACCACACGCAGCAGGTCAACTCACTTTGGCTCCTCTGCCTCTGAGATTTTAGCTCAATCATTTTGTCCTTGGTTAAAGGAAACCTTCTCTTTTGGATAGGTGAATTGGGTAGAGCAAAAAAGGCCATTATGCTGGTGAGTGTTTCAACAGTGTGCCTTAAAATTCTTATCAGGGCTGCCTCTCAGCAGCTGACATAGTTCAGCTGCTGTGAATTGCTCCTCTGAGTGCTGGTTGATAAGAAGAGAGACTCCTTGCAGGCATGAGCAGGGGTAAGGCAGACAGATAAGATAAGCTGAGCTGTCAGGAGGATTTGACTCACTCAGGAGTGCTGCTGTCTGATTTCTTGGTCTTGTTTTTCTCCCCCCCCCCCCCCCCTTTTTTTTTCTTTTTTTTTTTTTCCACCATCTCTTACAAGCTGTGAATAGGGAACTATTGGCCTGGTAGGACGCATTGAGTCATAGTCTTGGAGTCTTGCCTAGCCTGTTTCATCCACAAAGACTGAAGACTTTGCACTAGAAGTATTAAGTTTGTGAACTGTTGTGCTGGGAGGGGGATGTGGTCTTAATCTATCCCTGGGAAAGCCAGCAGTTGGCCTAAGGCTTGCCCAGTGTGATCTCCATTGTCTCATCCTTTCCTTTGGCATCACAACCACCATCAATGCTTTTAGGCACCCCTGTGGGCTGCTTCTCTTTCTTTCTGATTTTAAGGTCTACTGTTTTCCCTTTTTAAATACACACCCAGGTCTGTTGACAGCAGCCCACCAGGAAGGGTGCAGGTAGCACCTCTGAGTAATGCTGCCTTGATTTCTGC